TAATGAAATAAATGATAACGGAAATATCATCAATCCAGGTCATCTTGAACCGAATATTGCCTAGCCCACGGTTTGTCAGTGTATACAAAGATATGCTTGAGTAATGATCCAAGAGCAGGAGCACTGGGGACAGCAGAGCCACCCATCAGCAGTTGTGTTCGCTTAAATTTCCTTGTCAATGGATCATCAAACTATGTTCTGCTTAACTTCCCTGGCTCATGCTTGGTGCAGAACTTTGCATGGAACTCCTTATTACTTAAGAAATGAATATCACATGGAAATTTAAGCTTAACCAGTCGGGTCAAGAAATGTCTCGGCTCACTCAGTTTTTACCACTTGGTTCTGCCCTAGTTGGAGCTATATTACTTTTAATGGGATATAGACCTATATTGTCCACCAAACCAACCAAACAAAATCATGGCTTCCAAAAGCTGAATGGGGATCTCCCATTCAACTTCATCCAAGCAATCAAATGCTACATAAAGATATGGTAGTCGTCCAGTGAACTTACATTAAAAGTAATGGTTCGCCTAGAAATCCTCTGTTGGTTTTCCAAAAGGGCATGTGCCCTAGTTTTTCCTGTAAAGACCTTGCTTCATCAGATGGCATATGAAATGCTGGATTATAAGGTTAGAAATAAAACAAGCTTGGTCGGAGGCACTGATAAGAAAGCATTCAAGGAGTTTATTATTATTTTTAGAGAAAGGCTCGAAGACATAGATAGTGTTGAAAACTGATATAAATTCAAGCAGTATTGCTTATAGTAAATAATCTTGTTTATATTAGTAAGAAATGGAAGGTGTTTCTTCTGATGAAGCCCCTAGTAGGTGGTTCTGATCCTTACAGTAGATGAGATATGAACGAATACTTTAACTTGCAGTGAGATGTACCTTCTACGGATTTCCAGGATTATTACTTGATTGACATATACATTATTTTTATGAAAGCACGCAATTATAAATCAGACACTGCAAAAAAAGGCATATCATGATTTCTCTACATACTCTCTTGGCACATATATATGGAACTCTTAATCCCAACTTACCAAAGAAATTGCAGGTTCTTATCTAATCAAAACCCATCATACTACCAGAACAGAAAAACAAGGAAAAACAATCTTGGAGAACCTCACATGTACCATCCAACACGTCCCAATTTCGCGGAAAATAGGCAGATCATCAACAAGCTCTCACAACATTGCTCATTAAGCTCTAAACTCTGAATTTGAGTATGTCCTTTGCTATAATTGTTCAGCTCACAGAGATAGCCCTTGTAGGATCATAGGTAGGGTCAGGAATGCAAATGTTGCAGGTTATGTAGTTCATGCTGTTATTGATAGCCCTTGTGTCATACATTTTCTTTCCCCCCTTTTGTCTTAATTGACTGGACCATTATAAAAACAGGGGCTAGTCAGTTATCCTAAAAAATGACATATGTTGGGTAAAAGTTTCTACCCTTGAAGAAACCAATAGTAATAACATTTGATGCAAACATTTAGTTGCTTCACTTTTAGCTTGTCTTGCAATGACGTACAGGTGGGCTGGTCGAGTATGTGATGGTCTTCCTAGAATTGCAGTCATCAAGAAAGCCTGAATGTTCATCCTGTCGTTTAATTTAGTCAATTGTTGAGGGATGGATAAAAAGTACTCCCTCCGTCCGGAAATACATGTCGGAGGAGTGGATGTATCTAGACATATTTTAGTTCTAGATATATCCATTCTTATGCATTTCTCCGACAAGTATTTTCGGACGGAGGGAGTATAATTGAATAATTATACACCTCATGATTGTATTCTGATATGCTTATGAGCTAACACCTGTACCTCTCACATACATCCAACTATGGGTCATCATCAGGTTCATACTTCCTGCAAAGGAATAGGAAAAGCAATAAGAAATCTAATCCAAACAAGGAGATGATCAACAAAAGCTATAGAAAATGTTGTTAATTGGCATTATCAAGTTAATTAACTCAGTTTTCATGACACATTTTTAAGTTAATTAGCAACATTTTCTGCTATCATGCAGGATACACTTAGCAAAGTTATCTATGGTAAGAACTACTTTTGTCTATTAAAATCACATGAAAACTTTGATCTTGGAAGGAACCTTTGTTTTCCAAATATGTTTTGCAAAAAAAAAAAAATAGTTCCAGAATCTAGAAGATCCACATACATAGACTTCACAGTGACAACACCGTTAGTGGTTAACCTTCACTGGTACGAATCTGACATCTGAGTTAGATTAATTGGCATTAACTTAAAAATCACATGGATCCACTTAGTCCATTTGTCGCCTAATAATGTGCCTCACAGAATTGGATGGTTGAAGCGCTAGCCCCAAGAACAGGAACCACCGAATCCTCTTTTCTAAATAAAATATTATACAGGGTCAGATATTGTAGAGCTAATGGAGTGTCACCCAACCAGACATCTTCCAAAAACTCGTCGATTAGCCTTCACCAACCTTAAATAAATCTCTCTTAGAAAAAGATGGCTTGACCTTCAACAAGACCCTCCAAAATGATGAAACAATAGGCTTAACATTTATTTGAGATAATATTTTTGAGATTTGTTATACAACAACCCTTGCCAAACACCTTCCTAGCTAAGTAGCTTATACAAATATTATTTGAGTAAGCACTTGTTTTTTTTAATTTGAGGTTTATAATAACAACAACAAGCAGCTAGTAGTCAGCACAAGTGCTCTTGAAAACTCTTCATATACAAGGTAGGGTACTTCGAGATAAGTGGTTAAGGGCATCTTCAAAGAAGGCCCTCAAACCTCCCGCAAGCGTCCGGATCCAGTTGTCCGAACGTAGTTTGTCATCCAATGGCGCCCCGCATCGATCACGTGGACCAGTTTGCATGTCCATCCCGCAAACCAGAAGCAAACCAGGGGGAATTTTCCGAAGTTGAAATACCAGCGACGTAGGCTCCGACACCTCCGGCCACCCAAAACCACACCGTTCCCACATCTTCATCCTTCTTTCTTTGCATCTGCTTTCTCTCTCGTCAACGCGCAGCTCTACCACCCCGACCGCTCGCCAAGACCCTGCAGGAACTCTGTGACCTCCACCGCTACACCAGGCCTCCAGGTTGCTTGTCCTCTACTGCCGGTCCACACCTCTCGTCCGTCCGCCTTGCAGGTACCATCCGCCCCTACGGCAGTCACCACGCCCAGCAAGTGTTTGTGACATGCCGGTGCTAAAACAATTGCCGCTTCTTTAAAGCCGTGGATTCGGACATGGAGTACATATACGAGCACTACGTTGAGTCGTCCGACAAGGAGGACTACAAGAATGAAACGGCGATGATGCAGGATGTCCTTGGAGACGCAGAGCAAGCATAAGAGCATATTCTCTATTTCACGGTATCGATCAAGGGCCATCAAGTGCTCAATCGGAATAGGGCACAGTGCCATTTGACGGTGATGAACAACTACTTTGCCCCCGATGCCGTATTCACTGATAATTTTTGTCGGCGCTTTCAGATGTGAAAAGTGTCTCTGATCGCCTCTACCATGGCGTCTGGTCCTTTGATGAATACTTCAGCTTAAAGAAGGATGTCATAGGAAGGATTGGATTCTGAGGTTACCAGAAGTCCACGACCGCATTTTGGATGCTTGCATATGGCACAGTCGTAGATTCATGGGACAAATACCTCCGAATGTCTGAGAACACATGCAGAGAGGCCATGGTCAGATTATCTACTGCCGCTATCGAGGTGTTTGGACCTCAGTACTTGAGAGAACCAATTATTGCGGACATTGAGAGGCTCTTGCCAATGTCCGAAGCAAGACGGTGGCCAAGTTTGCTCGGATCTCTTGGCTACATGCATTGGCGATGGAAGACTTGTCCAAAAGCTCTACAAAGGCAATATGAGGGCCATGTCAAGAAGCCCACCATGAGTCTGTTCAAATGCATCAACAATTTCGACATCGAGCAACTCAAGGAAGATTTGATTGAGCACATGTGGGATGTTAAAGGGGACAATTAGAACATATGGGCTAGTTGATTTCAAGTTTGAACTACGTTTATATGAAAACTTTGTTTTATTGTGATATTTAGAACTACGATTTGATATGCGGTCATTTTGAGCTTGCGGACTTCAAAAAAAAAAAGAGGCAAAAGTTTTGCGGTTAGCTTTGGATGACCAGCTTCCGCATCACTTTAAGCAGACCGGTCCTCACCGATACACAAACAGATACGGTCTGATTCAAGGGTCGGCATTGAAGATGACCTAAAAGGAAAGTGTTGCATGAACAATAAACAAAAAAGCATCAACAGAGCACTACCTCCAGTACCTAGAAAAGGTGGTTACATTCTCAGACACCGTGGAACCTGTCCAAACACCTAAATTCTTTTCTAAGCACCGGATGAGTGTAATGTGGCAAATAAAATTATTTCTCCCTTAAGCACTCATCTTTGCGGCCTTCGAAATGTCATTTTCCGCCTAAGAAGGCCAGACTTCTCGTCGAATTCATTGATGCCTTCCAAAATATCATTTTCCGGATATGAAAAGCTACATTTTCAGAATGTGGGCCATGTCAATTTTGGTGTGCGAATCAGAAGAAACCAGATTTCGACCAACACTGAAATACAAAACTATCGCCCACCTTGCACAGTTCACTTGGGAATGCCAACCGATGGCTTGGGGATAAGAATACTGCAGGCAACAGAAAAACACCCATATAATTGTTAGCAATCCTAGAATGAATAACGATTGGAACATGCATGGTCCATCCCGACTCAACACATGGCAGTTGGAAAAGTCTATTCTCTTAGATGAGAGGATGAGATCGCCAATCAAAGGCCAAAGCCACGTGTTCTTTAGATAAAAAAGCATCACGCATTGTGTGGACAACATATAGTATCCCGGCTAGAGGAAGGGGGGGAAAATCTAGCACAGTTCGTTTGCCTGCTCCTATAAATTAGTGGCACCTCGCGTAAAGAGATCACGGAACATAGTGGAGGTTCTATTGACAACATCAGAAACTAGATGATGAATATGGAACGTGATTTTTATATGTCCAAAGGGGAAGGAGAAAGTAGCTACTCCAAGAATTCAAGGCGACCAGTAAGTTTCCATCTTATTTTTTATCATGCACAGATATCCTTTACGCATAGCATTTCTCTAGTTGCAGCCAAGGTTACATTAAAAGTTAAGAAATTGCTATCTCTCCTATTTGAAAAGAACGTAAAGTTTTGTTGTCCGCCCGTCCTTCATCCAACCTTACGTATCTCCCATCTTCCTTTCTGTTCTGTTTCTTTTCTTCTTATCTCTGAGTTTTACACCGTTTTTTTCTGAAAACCACATCAACTTTTGCGTCTCTTATTGACTTCCCATTTTTGGGGGTAAATCTATAGGTGATTGGCAAATACAGTAAGGGTTTAGCAAATAAAATCCTATTCTTTTACACAATCACACTAATATGGACACGTGAATAACAGGCTAGCCAACTAGAAAATCTAAGCTCGCGTTGCAACGCACAGAAAATTAGCTAGTAACTTAAATTTACCTTGCATCAGATTGAGATTTTTTATCATCCCGCATGAGTAATATTAAAATCATATCAGGAGTAATGGAATTATATGCTATAACTATTACCTTTTATTACTCTGTCAGTTTCTTTCATATAGCATAAGTTTTCATACATTATTTAGAATACAAAGGCTTCCATTCGAATTTTATTGTTGCTTTTCCTTCTGATTGTATTTGTCGCAAATGCCTAACTCATGATTGTAATTACTCCTTCCCTTCGGGTTTATAGGGCTCAATTTCGAAATCTCACCAATCAAGGTAGATAGTGAGTGGTGGACAATTTTGTACTCCCTCCGTCTCAGTTTACAAGTCCTACGCGTATACCTAGGTTGCCAATTTTATCATCCTAATATAAACTATATAACACAAAAATTATACCTTTTGAAAATAGAACATCTGAAGTTTATATTGGTATATTTTTTGTAATATATGACTTGTATTAGGTTGGTCAAATTGACGACCTAGGGATACGCGCACGCCCTGTAAACTGAGAGAGAGGGAGTAGTTTACGAAAGTATACAATTAATGCACTTGTTTTTCTTTAAAAATGTGTTTACGAATGCATTAACTGCAATGCATGTCCAATAAATGACCAAAAAAATATATTCATTTGTGAGTTTTCTCTTAATCATTGTATGCAGCGATTTAATGCATCTTAAAATCTGAACATGTAATGAAGAGCAATATTATTGAGACTTATAAAATGAAAAAAAAACTAAAATTTTAAGATAAGTCCTATAAACCGGAAGGACGGGAGTAATATCTCTCTAACCCACAGAGCCTTTCGGCTTCCCATGCAGACTCGTTAAATTCTCGGCTACCCTTTTCACGCAGGAAAACTTCAATCCTTTCATCCTCATGCACGAGGGCGAGTGACCCATATTGCGTCGTTCCTCCGATTTGGAGGTATGAGTGGATTCTGCATATCAAGCGAATATTCGGTTTCTGGGAATGAGTTGATTCTCCTTCCTCGACCCAACCAAACACGTGAATGAGTCCTGGGTGTAGGTCGGACCCATTACATTTCACTTGGTGATACAAACCAAACACAGCCTTTGGGCATGCCATAAACTCGTTCCACAATATCAAACATAACGCTGGCCTATGTTCGTTCATCTTGGTTGTGGTGCAGCTCATAAAAAAATCATATGCGCCTAAACAGAGGGAGTAATAAATAACCTGGAAGAAATTGGGAACTCTTTAATTGTTAAAAATATATTATAGCGACGCTTCTAAATAGACCAAACTAAAGGGGAACACATATTCCCATCAGGCGGCTCGGGGGGGAAACCCTAGCCACCGCGACACCCATCCCCTCCTTCTCCTAGTCTCGCCACTGCCGGAGGGTGCCTCCCAGCAAAGCCCGGGCCGGCCCTAAGGAAGGCGGCGGCGGGGCTTCAGCTCTCTAACGCATCGAGCGCGGGTGGTTTCACTCGGCCCGGCGGTGGCTCGAAGCGGCGGGTGTCGGCGCGCTACAGGGCGGGTCGGCGCGGTGGTTTGTAGGCGAGTCGCTGCCGGCGTGTGGAGGTTCCTGGGGGGCGAAGACCTGTGATTCGTGGTGGCCGGGCCAGATCTAGGCCTTGGCAGGCCGCGCCTCGTCGTCGTCGCTCCGGGGCGTTGCGGTGCTGCCAGACGGGCACATGGGTGGTGGCCAGCGCGGATTTGCTGCGCCGCTGCCTCGCGTTTGGCGCGGCTGGTACCGCCGTGGGCGTGTGGTCTGGATCTGGGCTCGCGCGGGTGAGGGCGCGGTGTTGCTGTGCCAAGGCGTGGGCGCGGGAGAAGATGCGGGGGATGAATGGCACCCTTGCTCGGTGTTTCATCCTTCTGTTGGTGGTTTGGCAAGCTCGACGCTGCTTCAGGTGGGAGGACGAGATGGTGGTGGCTGGAGGGAGAGGAATGGCCTCACTACAGTTGTTGCATCCTTTGTCGGGAGAGGTATGATCGGTGGGCGTTGCATCCTCGGGGAGACGAATGGCGTTGTGCTTGGTTGCATCCTTCCGATGGGAGACGAATGGCGCTGCTAGGGGTTGCATCCAAGGTCCAGTGGGGGATGCGGATGTAAGGTTGGAAGCACGTCGAGCTTGTCAGGGAGGTGCGGTTGGCCATGGAGGCACGGATAGTGGTTCAGTGTGTAGGCGGATCGGATCCTGGGTTCGGGCTATGCAGGTGAGACTGCCGGCGAAAGTCGTACTCCAGTTGCGGCCGGAGTCGTCGATGGCGGCGCTTTCTGGCATCGCTCCCTCGTTGGAGGCATCGATGTAGCTGCTCTCATCTTGCCTTTCCCAACGTGCTCCGGAGGAAACCCTTGATCTAGTTTAGATCGGACAATGGCGGCGCTATTTGGCGTCGCGTTCTCTCTTGGGAGCATCGTTTCTGGAGGTGGATCCGGTCAGAGGGACCCGTGGCTCGTGAGGGTATGTGTGTTGTTTGCCGAATGGCGTCATTTGTATGGTTTTTGGGTCCGGTTTCCCTCATAAAATGGACCAACCTTCTTTCCCCTGATCAATGAATTTGGTAGATCAACTACCAACATTCGAAAAAAAAAGTACTGTACTAAAATGTGTGGGTGTGGTGCCAGGTGATTGTTATTGCAGAGACAATGCCGGTCATTGAGAAGTCTGTAAAAGAAGTGTACACGGCTCTTCTCCCCCAAACTATGGTTGTCGCCGATCTCGGCTGTTCCTCAGGACCAAACGCGTTGATCTTCGTCTCGAATGTGATCAACGCCATAGCTGACCATAGTAGTAAGCTCGGTGGCCAGGGTGATCATGTGGAGGTTCAGTTCTTCCTGAATGACCTGCCAGGAAACGACTTCAACCAGCTCTTCCGGTCACTCGAACAGTTCAAGAGGTCAGCTGAAATGGATCGGAATGGAGATACACTACCTCCGTACTACGTTTCCGGGCTGCCAGACTCGTACTACGTCAGGCTTTTTCCTCGTCAAAGTGTTCATCTCTTCCACTCCTCCTACTGCCTACATTGGCGCTCTCAGGTACCTTGAAATACACAAGTGATTTTGTTTTGAAAAGGGGATAACCCCAGCCTCTGCAGCATATGATGCACACTACATTTTATTAAACTTAAAATAAGTCTGAGTCACCGAGAGATACATCATTTGATATCTATGAAATTCTACTCGTTGACATGTGTATACATAGGTGCCGGAGGGTCTTGAGGGCAAACGAGAAGTGTACCTAAATGGAGAGAACATGTACATCGCCAAAAATACCCCACCGTCGGTGGTGAAGCTATTCCAAGAGCAGTTCAGGAAGGATTTCTCTCTGTTCCTGAGGCTTCGCCACGAAGAACTTGCGTTCGGCGGGCAAGTGGTGCTAACATTTCTTGGAAGGAAGGACGAGGATGTCTATAGCGGAGATCTCAACCATCTCTTTGGCTTGCTTTCGCAGTCTCTACAGTCTCTTGTCGTGGAGGTAAATAAGAGTAGAGCATATCAAATTATACTAATTCCTAATTAACATTCAGTTTTACAGCAAGTGAATTTAAGTCAATTTGCTCATAAAGTCATAATGCATATAGGGCCTTGTGAAGGAGGAGAAAGTAAGCTCCTTCAATTTACCGGCCTACGGGCCGTCGGTCGGCGAAGTGATGGCATCGGTGAAGGAAAGCGGCGCCTTCGACATAGCTCACATCAAGCTGTTCGAGCAGAACTGGGACCCCTACGACGACTCGGAAGGGGACGGCGTGCTCGACAGCGCCCGCAGCAGCGTCAACGCTGCCAAGTGCATCAGATCGGTTATGGAGTCCCTAGTCGCGAGCCATTTCGGAGAAGACATACTCGACGCGCTGTTTGAGGAGTACACGTGTCGCGTCGCCGGGCACCTCGAGAAGGAGAAGACCAAGTTCACCGTCGTCGTCCTTGCCTTGAAGAAAATATAGCAGGGCAGGTCCTTGAGTGTGTGCTCTGCAAACTGAGGCCTTATCTTCATCTTGCAGATGGAGCAGGGGATCCGAAGTAATTAACTCCACTTTGCTTGTGCAGATGGAGTCATGTTCTAAAGTCAATACTATTACTCCCTTCGTAGAGAAAGAGCGTTTAGATCACTAAACGCTCTTATATTTTTTTACTGAGGGAGTGCATCATAATCTCTTCTGCTCCCCATCCACCTGTCCTCTAGTAGTGGTTTTCTGCGTTGTGTTGTAAATATGTTTGTGGTGTTTTTGTGTTACCCTTATTATTGCTTTGGCAGAATTTATTGCCCCTTGGCCTATATGGTCTTCGACCCGGTTTTCCTCCTGGACGGATCAAGATTTTCGATCTGGTTTTTCTTACTGTCTGAATGTGATCAATTTAGGTGGTCCCCCCAACTGTTCAAAAATGGGTAGTCTTCTCTTCTCTCGAAATAGACTTTCACCCCGCTTTATAGATAAAGCATACGTCCATACAACCACAACTCAAGCACAATCATAAAGGAGAAATGCTGGGGCCACAACACAAAGACGCCCAAATGAAAGAAGAAGAAACAGAAAGGCCACCAGGGGCAAGCTACGGGACCGGCGAGCGGTCGGAGAGCCGACGCGCGATATACACCAGGGCGTCCAGGAAAAGCTGAAGGCGATCACGATTCCTCGGCCCAGCGAGCGGATGCCAGCGCTGCAGGAAGGCAAGAAATTTGAAGAACGAGTCAGAAGCACGCCGCGGGAACACCCGCTCAATCACCATCTTGTTGCGAGTAGTCCAGAGAGTCCACATCATAGCCGCAAAGATGAGCCAGAATAGTACGGCCAACCTAAGTAGCCCTAACCTGCAGAAACTTTGCAAGGTCCTGAGCCTCCCACTCTGGCCCTAGAGCCTCACGAACAAACCACCAAAGTGTCTGCGCTGCTACGCAAGAAAACAAAATGTGCGTTCCTGTTTCTGGGACATGGCACAAAGGGCAAAGGCCATTGCCCGGACCATGGCGTTTCAGTACCTCTGTCCCCGAAGGCAGACGGTCACGGAGAAGCTGCCATACAAAAATCTTAATCTTCAGGACAGCGGTGCCTTCCACAATGGGGATAACCACTGTAGAACCGGCATACGGCATAATGCCTGATAGGCCGAACTAACAGAGAATTCACCCGAAGGAGAAAGGCTCCAAGAAACAGAGTTAGGGTCCAGGGACAGAGGAAGAGGGACTTACCTCAGGTTAGTACATTCCCGAACGGAATGAGCGGCGGAACGCAATGTTCCACCCCTCCTCCAACGCAGCCGCTGATACAAGAATGGCCGGGTAATCACAAATCGCAAAGAGCCGCGGCAACCGCAAGCAGACAGGCTCGCCCTCGAGCCAGGGGTCCAATCAAAATTGGGTCCCAGAGCCATTGCCAACCGAGAAACGCACACCCAACCTAATATCTTCCTTGATGGCATGAATAGATTTCCAGAACTGGGACCTAGCTAAGTGAGAGCAAGCCATGAGGGGTTGACCCTGCAAGTACTTGGACTCAACCAGCTGCAGCCACAACCCCCCATCTCCCCGCAAGATCTGCCAAACCCAACGCAACATAAGCGCAACGTTCATCCAGCGCGATGCAGGGATGCCCAACCCACCTCGACCCTTCGGCAAGCAAATGTCAGCCCACTTCACAATATGGTACTTGGCCCGACCATCTCCTGCCTGCCAGAAGAACCTATCCAGCTCCTTGTCAAAGGAGCTATGCACACCTTCCGGTAAGATGTACATCCCCATCATACACATGGGGAGGCTAGCAAGGTTAGAGCTAATGAGGACAGTTTTGCTACATTTAGAAGTGAACCGACCGCACCAGGGCTCCGCACGGGATGCTACTCGTCCCACAAGCGGATCATACCCACTCACCAAGATCCTGGACTCAGCCAGGGGCATCCCCAAGTAAGATATGGGGAAGGATGCCAGCCTACATTTGAGGTTGTCAGCGATCCGACGCTGCTCAGCCTCTGAATAGCCAAGGACCACCACCTCGCTCTTATCAAAATTAATCTTAAGTCCAGACATTTCCTCAAAGCAGAGCAAAAGGAACTTAAGATTAACAATGTTCGAGTCCGAGCCTTCCACCATAATCATGGTGTCATCCACATACTGTAGATGAGTAACCCTCCCCCCCCATCCGGGATGAGGTGGCTAACTACACCCTTAAGGTGGCCGGCCGACTTGGCCTTATCTAAGATGCCCGCAAGAGCATCAAATGCGAGGTTAAAAAGCAAGGGGGAGACAGGATCCGCTTGCTTTACCCCTTTGGAAGCTTGAAAAAAGGGTCCCACCTTGCCATTGATGTTGATCGTCGTGTTCCCGGATCTGAGTAGTTGCATGATCCAGGAACACCACTTCTCGTCAAAACCTCGACGCTCCATCACCAACCTCAAAAAGGACCAGTCCAAATGGTCATACGCCTTTTGGAAGTCCAATTTGAGGAAGACCCCCTTAAGTCCCTTCGACACCACCCCGTGGACGATCTCGTGAAGGGCAAGAATTCGGTCGTGGATCCGTCGAACCTTTAGGAACACGGACTGAAGGGGGTGAGCAATCCTTTCCGCCACCGGGGATAAGCGAGTTGTGCAAACCTTCGCAAAGATTCGCTCCAACACATTCATCACCGTGATGGGGCGGAAGTGCCAAATATCCGTCGCCCCAACTACTTTGGGGATCAAAGATATGACACCATAATTAATCCTAGCCATGTCCAAGGATCCAATAGAGAACTCATGGAACATGGGCATAATGACCGGGCGTAAGATCCCCCATAATTTCTGGAAAAGGACTACCGGGAGGCCATCCGGCCCCGGGGCCGAGCACGCTTTCATAGACGCGATCGCTCGACCCACCTCCTCAGGGGGGGATGGGAGAGTAAGTTCCGCATTCTCCACATCGGAGACTTGGTCAGCAGGCGGCCAGAAGCCAGCGCAGAGAGAGACGCCTCCGCGCGGCTCAGCCAAAAACAACTCCTTATAAAAGGAGTAAATATGGGTGGAGATGTCCTCTGGGCTTTCCAGAAGAACATCCCCATCCAAAGGAACAGGATGGCACACTTACGCTTGCGGCCATTAGCAATCGCCTGGAAGTAGGCAGTGTTCGCACCCCCCTTGAGAAGCTAGTTCTGCCCCCCTCGACGCTGCTAGAATAGCTCCTCGTCCTTGTAAATGTCCATGAGCGAGGCCTCGAGGGCGTATCTCCTAAGCCAGTCGTCAGGGGACAAGCCCTGCCCGTTAGCAAGGTCGTCCAGCACCTTAATCTGATCCAACAGGGCCCCTTTACGGGCCCGGAGGTCTGCACCAAGGCTTGCCCCCCAGCCCTTATGGACTGACGAGACAATTTAGCACAATGGTGCCAGACATATACCGCACAAAACACACGAGGTGGGGATGCGACCGCCTCTAGCCAGCGGTCGTGAACCATCTCAAAGAAACCCAGTTGCTCCAACTAGAATGTCTCAAAGCGGAAGCGACGGGTCCTAGGGGGTCTCATCGCCTGACGAGAAAAGCAGGGGGTATGATCGGAGCCAATCCGAGTGACCGCCTTGAGAGAGCACAATGGGAACATTACTTCCCACTGATCCGACACAAAGACCCGATCTAAGACACTCCGGATGGGGTCCGCCTGTTTATTCCTCCACGTAAACCTAGCCCCTACGCGGGCTATGTCACGGAGCGCAAGGTCCGCAATGCAGTCGTTAAATAGACACATGCGGACCCAATCAACATTAGGCGAACTTTTAGCAGAAGCCCACCTAATGAGGTTGAAATCTCTGGCCACCACTACCGGAGTGGTGCACCTCTCCACCTTATTTTTAAGCTCGGCGAGGAAGTCGGCAGAGCGAGCATGATCCGCAGGACCATAGACGAAAATCACCTCCCAACTGAAGTGGATTCGTCGGTCAGTGACGGACATGCTCAGGAAGAATTCCCCTAGGTCCATATCCTCAACCGAGAAAGCATCCTCCCGAACTTCGAGCAAAATACCCCCAGATTGCCCCATAGCAGGCAGCCACTGCCAGGCAAACTAATGGTGGGAAAGCCCCTGGAGCTCATGCATACTAAAGTCCTGGTGGATCGTCTCCTGCAGTCCCACAATGTCAATCTCCTCCTGACGCAAATACTCGATGAGCTGACGTCTCCGGCCAGTGAGGCCGAAGCCCCTAATGTTCCAACATAGGATCTTCATTTAATAACCTCAATGCATTTCCTAGGCCCCGCAAGCGGGGCCGAGCTAGCCCGCCCGTCAATCGCAAGTCGGGGGGATGCCTTCACCGGGCGGCCACGCCGCCCCTGCATAGGGGGGGGGGGCAGCGGAAGACTCCGGTCCGAGGGAAGTGGACCGGGAGGTAGAACCACACACCTCTAGTCGGTGTTCAATGGGGTTGAGACGAATGGGGGGCGTCCACGCAGCTCCCTCTGTTGGAAATATGCCCTAGAGGCACTAATGAAATGGTTATTATTATATTTCCTTGTTCATGATAATTGTCTATTGTTCATGCTATAATTGTATTAACTGAAAACCGTAATACATGTGTGAATACATAGACCCACAACATGTCCCTAGTGAGCCTCTAGTTGACTAGCTCGTTGATCAATAGATGGTTATGGTTTCCTGACCATGGACATTGGATGTCATTGATAACGGGATCACATCATTTAGGAGAATGATGTGATGGACAAGACCCAATCCTAAGCATAGCACCAGGTCGTGTAGTTTGTTAGAGCTTTTCTAATGTCAAGTATCATTTCCTTAGACCATGAGATTGTGTGACTCCCGGATACCGTAGGAATGCTTTGGGTGTACCTAACATCACAACGTAACTGGGTGGCTATAAAGGTGCACTACAGGTATCTTTGAAAGAGTCTATTGGCTTGGCACGAATCGAGACTGGGATTTGTCACTCTGTATGACGGAGAGGTATCTCTGGGCCCACTCGGTAATGCA